TCATTTTGTACTTGCATTGCAAGGGCTTCTGTTGGCTTATTTATACATTTTATTATTATTATTTATTTTTTTAATTAAAAGTGAGCTACAGAATCCAATCTACACAGTGCATGTGATAATTTCACTATAGTTTCTGTGTGTAAAATTATAGGGATAGCTGAAGAGATTTAACTAGACCATTTAAATTTAAAACAAATATCAATACGGGATAACAAACTGTTTTATATTCAATTTCATTATCTTGTATCTAATACAAACATAATATAATAATTACAATACATAATTTGTAAGCACTTCATACACTATTTACAAATTTGATGTTTATAATCAGTTTATGCATTTCGGTTAAATGTTGGGGGCTATATCGACTCCACCAAACATTGATTTCGCATACCTCCACGCTGAAAATATAAAATTTTTGTTAAACTCTTTAATTTCTCCTGAAAATGTTTGTATTTTTTTTTATTTTTATTAAATAAAGTTTTACTGACGTAAGTCATCCTAACTTATTGTTGATTATATACATTTTTTTTTCTTAGCATTTGGACAATATATAATAATTAGAGTAATAGTAATAAGATATCGGCTAAGTTTTAGTATTTATAACTCAGAAAAGAGAAAAAAAAAAATATTGATAAATAATTACAAAGTAAGATCGTATGGGCGTCCACGCTTGAGTCCCATAGAAAATTTTTGTAACGTGATATCTGTCAACTAACTTATTCGCACGATAAAACAATTGACTAATTGTTTTATTGTAAAACGGGTCATTCGATGGAAAGAAATACGTCCCCGATTTGCTTAAAAAATATAGTTTTAATTTGTAATTAACAAAAAAGTATTGATGTAAAATTGTAGTTATATTCTTATTAATAGTAAAAGAAATAATGAAAAATGTTGAAAACTTTTTTCAAGTAATCATCGAAATAATATGAATCACGTAAAAATTAAGTTCAAACTTATTGATTCAATAAATTACTGTGATAGAATATAATATACATAATGCATACATTATCAACACTTAATATACAATTTTGAATTTTGTTTAACGAAATCGCCATAATAACAATAAACGAACTATATTTAAAGGTGCTAGGTAAAGTATTTTTTAACGTCTTAAATATCACTTTCTACCTTGGTCGTCTGTGGTATATAGCGGTATGTTTATAATTACACATGCATTAAGTATCTTTTGTTAATGGTTCAACATTAGTGGAACTACGAAATATTATGAAATGTAAACGTATCGTACAAGGATATGTTGACCTTTATTCTAAATTGTTTCTAGCGAAGCTTACGGAATACACTCGCAAATTTAAAACACCAAGATTATACTATAAAACTTCCATTAGCCATTTAATAAGTACACAATGGACAAGTAATTTATTGTCTTAACTCGTGTGTACAGATATTAAAATAGTTACTCTTCGATTTTAATTTTATAATGCATACATTCATAACAAAAATGCAACTCACACTGAACATTGTAAAAACAATGCATTGGGTATATACGTATGTATTATAATATAAATATATTATACATATGAATACGTATCGTACATTTTAACATATAAATAAATACGTTTATAGTATACTATACAACGTTACATTGTAATATCTTATTGTATGTTTGTATTTACCTTCAAGTACCTGTATGCAATTGACGATGAAAATGTACTTAAAATAAAAATGTCGAATAAAATGATAAGTAAAGATTTGCAAGTCTAAATTTAATATTAAATCCTTGCTTATTACATAGTTGAACATTTTGACGATCATGAATATGTAATATGTATCTATAACATCGTACATACCAATAACAAAAGTCTTTGTGGAATTTAACTCATTATTCTACACACAGTTTAATTATTATTTGCTTTCCAAGTGAACCAAGACCAACATATGCAATCCGTGTATTGAATAAATAATATATTATAATATATTATATTATTTCGAAAGTGCCAATTTTACTCATCAATAAACTACGGAGAATATTATTGATGAAAAGTTATGCGAGTTTAGAAACAAAATAAATTATTTTAGATGTATATTTTATGTTTAAAATTCGTCAATTAATTGTGCATCATCGCGAGCCACAGAGTACTTCAATTATTAAAACAAGTATTTTAATTTTTCTTATTCCAATATAGTCATTGAAAAAATAAACATGAAATATTTATAAAATATGTTACTATGCGTTACTAAAAGTACTCGAAAAATATTTTCGTTCTGAAATGATCAATTCAGTATCTTGAACAATTTAAGCATAATAGCTTATTGTATTTTGTTACACTATATTTTTTGTTCATAATTTTTTTAATATTTTTATTCATTTTAGTATTAAACTTAAGAATTTAATAGTTATTAATCATAAATATATGTTTATATATTTTCGTTGTATATATATATATATGTATATATCGTTCTATATGTTCGTTTTATAACTTACCATAATTATTTTAAAACTAAAATTTAACTAAAAAATTTTTTTAACTAATACGTGTATTATAAGTACTTACTACATTTTTACAAAATAACTTTTTTATTGTTCACCGAGTATTTTTACATATATATTTTTTTTAATGACGTCGCACAGCATGATTTTATATACCCTCTTCGTTTGAAGTAAATTAAACCAAAATTTTTTTGGCTTCAGAGGAGTACATAATATAAAGTTGTGTAATGAATGGTATACGATGACGTATACATTAACTTTTTACATATACGTATACTGTTACGTAATACGTAGTATAGAGAAAGAATAAATATAATAAGACATAGAATACGTGACTTTACGATCGAATAGTTCTGCACTTCCATCGTTGCAATGATGATATATTCGAATAAATTATCATTTGGGTTTAAGTACTGATTAATTGGCAAAGCTTTTAGGATTTGATGATACTACTCGAAATAGAAAAGCACATGTACGCGCATATTGGATTAGAACAGTGTCATTGGAAATTATATTGCTATTTTAACGAATAGCAATACGCATAACATAACATAAAAAAAAATAACATTTGTAGCAATTGTATTACCAATTACCGACTTATATATGTATCATAATATTTGAATTGAAGTGTATTCGTATATATTCGTAGATACTATATTAGCATAATATGCATATTATTTTTTAAATCGTATTGTTTTTTTACACTTTAACTTTGAAAATTTTAAGTATATATTATATACTTAAAATATAATATATAATATATACTTAAAATTTTCAAAGTTATAGTGTAAAAACATAACACGATTTAAAAAATAATATTCATCGATTTAAACCGTTCACAACATGACTAATTACAATGGTAAAAAAATTAGTGCCTATAATTACAAAAATTAAGTTGTTTCTCGGAACAACATTCACACGCGACTAATTGTGGGAAAATCAACAAGTACAACACAAATATACATAAAATACTTATCAATTTACTCATATTTTATTTATGCACGATTAGATATATTAACATAGTAAATATGTCATATCATATACATATACGTGCGTATGTTGTTAAATAATAAATGTTTATATATAAATCAAAGATTACGGTGGTCTAAAGTTGTCAAACTAAAATAAAATCCCGTTTTTATGATGAAACATAATTATTTTGTTTTCGATGAAGTTTAATAACTAATTATTTTTATTTTAACTGCTCTTGCGGGATTTCAGAACTTTTGAACACGGAAAACAAATAAATTGATTTTGGATAATATTTTGAATTTGAAAAACTAAACCCCATGCGATTCATAAATATAAAAACTATGAAAAATAATACATTGATTACTATTTCACTCTCCAAAAATAATACGTAATTATTAATAAAAATAAGCGAACATTCTACACTTTTGGAAAATATGTTTGTCAAACAAACAATAAAAAGAACGAGAAAAATGATTCTTTTCGACAAATATTACTGTACTAATATTATTTCAGCTGTAAAATTACGTTTCTAAAGTCCATTATTTTCTTCATGAATCAGAAACCGGCGGGAGCGAGGAAGTGTAATCTCCAATTGTTCGTTTATTTTCCATTTCGATGCGGTGGTGGTGACGCATATGTTTAATAAGATTAATTTATCATTTTAATTAGAGTAAATATATAACATTAGGAAGAATCGCAATAATCGAAAAAATAAATCGAAATAATTAGTCTACATAAAGATTAATTATCGTTACAGAATAATAGTACCTTCAGTAAATATATGTTTATGCTCCTGTCTCATAAGTCTTAGCTCTAGGCACTTGCCTTTTCTTTTAAGTTATTCACTTACTATATATTACACACGAGTTGCGTATAACTTAAATTATTATTATCTTATTTATTTTTAATAGATATGTTACTTTACATTTCTTCTATACGTCATTTGATAATTATTATAGCATTTAACAGGTAGTTAGAACCCATACAGCAATTTGAAAGTGGACGGAAAATACGCGTATACCACATCATCAGTAATATTAGATTTGATGTCGATTTCTAGTAAGGTCAGATGTCAAATGTCATTATTTTTATCATCTATACACAGTTATATCACAGATCTGCGAAAACACTTTTAGGTCCATATAGTCTTTATATAAGCCACCCATGTTATCAACGGTGTGTTTAACCATCACCTTCCGATTGAACGTTGGTCGTAAAAACGAACTATATTATTATTTATTGAGATCGAACATTTTGAAAACGGTTAAAAAGTAAATCATGACGCGTATTTTTCTTAAAGAAATGGCTATATGTCATTGCTTATTGTATAATTCTTTGCTTCATATTTATAGTGATTATTATTGATTATAATAATTAATGATGCCGTAATGTAATGTTATGTGCAATACTGCAATTTAGTCGAATTTATTATCAACTAATCAGATAATCATTAATTCTAATACAGTAATAATATGTGCGCAATGGAATAATATTGCGGTGTATAGATTTAAATAATTGTCTATTTAAAGTTAAAAATTCAAATAAATGACATGATTATTTGTACATGTTTCAGTTGGGAAATATCAAGAGTTGCTTGGACTTGCTGGAGACACTGGGCATCGCGTTAGATGGCATTACGGCTCATGACATCAAGGAAGGTAATCTGAAAGCTATATTGGGCCTGTTCTTCGCCCTCTCTAAGTACAAACAAAAGCAGAAACAACAGCAGAAAACCGAAGGCCCCAAATCGAAAATACCTACAGATATGAAGCAATCAAGGTAATGTTTAGAGGAAACGTGAGTGATAAATCGTGTTCGAGACAAATAATAGAGTATAACGCATTTAGATGAGTGGGGGGAAAAATGAAAATAAATTACGTCATTGTGGATGTAGTAAGGGCGTGGACCCTTCGTCCCTTTTTACCCTAACAAAGATGACGGTGTTCAGTTCCAATGGGGAATTCAAACAGTGCGCGTCGTCATCAGTCCAGGAGTGTCCCGACGTCTCCTGAAGTTAGAATAAGGTTCCGCTTAAAATAAATTTGTATATAATATTATATTACAGTTAACAATAGTCGGGTTTTTTTTTTCTTTTTATTTATATGATATTTATATATATATATATATGTATATTTAAATACATTAAACGTTTTTTTTCTTTATACGCATTCGTTTTGATGAAGTTATTGTTAATTTCTATTGTTATAGACTTCCTGGACCCACCTTACACTCGGGCAGTATCACAAGCATACCCACCCCGTTCGCTCAGAGATTTCATCAATTGCAAAATACACCTGCTGCCAACAGTGAGTAACTACCTACCTGCTACAAGCATTTGATTAGGATGTGGGAACTTTTATAATTTTACCATTGTACTATACGAACAAGTTACGGTACACAGTAACCGTGCTGGTTTTTATAATTTATAAGCACAATACGGTACTCAAATGTTTTGGAAATTAATATAAAATAACTTTTTTAAATTTTTTTTAATTAAATAAATTATTTATCCAGTTATTCATTAGTCAGTGTTTATCAATTAAAAACTGAAAATCGCAATCCATATAAAGATATGAATACTTTTGCATAAAATATATTAATCTGTGTTCAATGTAATATTTTAATTCAATATACTTATATAAGTCTTAATATTTTCTTACATTAAATATTAAAATATTATATAAGTTTTAAACTTAGGTAAGCCACTTATTTTTATTTTTAATTTATTATTTAAAATGTTATGATAAGAATTAAGAACAATAATTTTCCTAAATTGTAACTCAAAAAACTTTAAATAATCCTAGAAAGTCTTATTACAAATTAATTATTTTGTAATTAAACTCAAAGAAACTTTTTTAATAGTTTTTTCGTGATCATCAATGTTACTCGACACTTTCAGGTATTATATACACTTTTCTTTGGTATTCTTAGTTTCAAGAAACTTTTAAGAAAATAATGACAAAATTAAATACAAAAACGTTTAGATGTAAATTGTTTTATAAAATTCATCAATTTATTAACTTAATGATTTTCTTTTGGAATTAAATAAATTTAATTTTGTTTTTGAATTTCAAATCAGCCTTGATCAGACGGTTTTAATATCAAAAATGTTATCAATGACAACGAAACATTTATAAAATACACACGTAGTACAGTTCCTTTGGATATAAGAAATTGAATATCGAGTGTTATTCTCCGTTTCACCTATATAAACTGTTGACTGTTATTTAAAACTAATTTTTTATTAAATTAAGCCGGTCGAATCTAATAAATTAAATCGTAAGACACTTTATCGGTCTTGGGCAGTTCAATATTACAATATAATTTATAAGTGATATTAAATATGCATATGGTAGACGATGGAAAGAAAAAGCTTTTTGATTATCTATATAAGGGAAAATATGTTGCCCATGAATCAATAAACGTACAATATGTAGGTACACGTTTTTGGTTATCAATGTTAAATTATTCGGAATTATAATACTTTAGAGCTCTACCGCTTATGCGTCTTAATACTTTTGAAATGGTACGTGTTTAATTAAACTGCTTCGCGCAATGTATGTCCGTACATAGACATCGGCGCAATCAGTATTGAATGTCTATAAATTAAATTATTATAATATAAAAATGTAAAAATCCATTATAAGATTCGAATAAGTTTAAGTATATGATATCGGAATAGTCCAACTGCCGACGTCGGGAAAAATAATTAAAACCTCTTTTTCAGTAAAAATATTTTCAATTCTACATCCAAATAAATTACAAGTACGTGTACATAAAAAATTATTTTTGGCGAAAGAAAAATAGTAAACGTCTCCCATCACTTTTACGGGCGCGAGTTAGTGAATTACAACATGGAGGGACTTAAATTATTTTCCAATATAGCTTACATTAACCGCATTGGCTGTGTTCACACCACAGTAAAGGCATTTTCGGGTAATATTTAGGGGGAGTAAGTCGTAAGCTTTCTTCTTCCGATCCCCGCGTGTTCCAAAATAGTCGACGATTTCGAAATGATTGTGTATATGGATTCAGCACACAGAGAACAGAACCGTAGTGATGAAATATTGCGTCAGGTGCTGCAATCTTTCAAAAGGTACCCTTATGAACTTCGAGTACCTACACCGTACTTGCGTATAATAATATAAAGAATCGATCGTGGTGATGAAATACACCTTATGCGCAGCGATCATATAAAACAATATTAGAATAATTGTTTCAAAATAGTATGGGTATTTTTTACTTGTAGATACTACATACTTATTAAAAATGGTTTTTGAAATTATTCAATAACAATTTGTCACCCCATACGATCGCATAGTTCGCGGTCCCATAAATCTGTCACCGATTATCAGAACACGAAAAATGTATCGAATTCGCCACTCGGACCGAGAAAACACATCATACGAACGTCCAATTTCACCGGTTCGTTTTGAGTCACCCTTTCTATATTGTTTTTTTTTTTGTTTTCTTTCTCTCTCGCTCGCTCCTTCTATTGTTATACATCAGGGACGGCCAAACGGTCGATCGCGGACGATTTCAGAGTCGATCATGTTAGAATTTATTTTTAGGCCACGTGCACGAAAATTAATCGTGGTGGTTATGAATAAATTGTCGATAAGTTTTATCCGTATAGTTTGTATCTTTTATTCTGGTTAATAAAAAAATTTTCCCAGAAAGTCGATTGTCAAAGGTGAAGTATATTTTTAGTAGATCGTGGCCGAAAAAAGTTTGGCCGCCTCTGTTATATGTACATGATTATCTAATGACAGTTTTTCTTACGCGTACGCGCGAGCGCTATCGGTCGGCCCGTCCACCGCACCCTTCCCGACATTTCCGGCCGATGACGTCACCCCGTGCATATTACGATGCGTTCAACGACGTCCTGCAGTCGTGCCTGTTGCTGCTTCCTTATCACGCGTTTCACCAGCCGCACCAGTTCTTATCTGTGTACGTTTAACGCGCGTTGCACCTGTTCGTTTTTATTTCCTTTAGGGACCAGATAGCAAAAGGATAGGTACAAAGGAAAAAGAAAATCACCACACCATATTGTTATTATTATTATTATTATCATTACCATCGTCGGGTTTCGTCATCACGTGCATCGTGTACGCAACACTGTGAACGGACGGTATATGTAGGTATGCTTCACCTCTATAAACCTACGCACACGGGGTTTTAAATTAAACCAACGATTGTTGTTTTCGATTTCCCTCTCTCCTTCGGTTCGAACGTAATGCGTGTCGAACGCAACACCTATACGTTTTTGTAACGTTTCGTTTTTTTCTCCTAATAATTATAGGTCCATATACCGGACTCAAATGCACGTCAAACAGTAGTTCCAGATCGACTAGTCCGCACACGTTTATACCGTCACCGAAAACTATCATTAGAACGCCAATTGCTTCGCCTAAAAACGCCAAGTAATAAAATATTTTCTTACAATTATAACGTAATTTTTTTTTTGCTCAACAGTTTGTTGACTTAAGATTCAAATTTTTCAGTCAGAAAAATGGAGTGCCCGTCAAAACCAATATCGCAAGCCCGTACAGTTCTGCACAAAAAAACAGTGCTTTGTTGGAAAAGCTGAAAGCATCCAATCAAAAGGAGAAATGCAACAAACAAGGTTTTTCATTCACAATATTTTAAGATAGTTTAGTGCATAACATAATAATATCTAATATCTAATTGGTTTTTTCAGTTATCAGTAGTACGAAAAGAACATCCAGCTCAAGTGGATTCAGTTCTGCTCGATCGGAACGTAGTGATTCATCAAATAGTCTTTCCAATGAACCTAAAACAGTGCCTAGGTATATGCAACTCTCTTGAAATATTATAAATAAATAATTTTCTTATTTTTCATAATTTGTTTACAGTCTAGAAAAAAAAGAAAATCCTATAGAAGTTACAAAACCAGTATTAAGAAAAAAAATTGCAAGACCACCTGTACCATCTGAATCACGTCTCTCAAAAATTAGTATTAAATCATCTACACCTCCTAAATATGAAAATCCCCAAAGAAAAAGTGCTGAAGTAAGAATTGAAATATACTTGTGTAAAATTTATACATGATGTTAATCTTTTTTGTTTGGATTCTTAACAGATATTAAGTTCAGATAAAGAAGATCTATCTAATTCATCTACAATGGAACTATCACAAAGCCAATCTGTAAGGCTTAGTGGAACTGGAATCCCAAAACCAGTTGCCACTGTCAAAGGAATGGCAAAACCAACACATACTGTTGCACCAATGCTACAAATAAATTCAGAATCTAAAAAAATGGATGATACCTTAGAAAAAAATAATTTGAAACCATTAGATAAATGTAGTGAACCTACAAAATCTGAAGATGTATGTTTCAGAAATACATTTCAACTATGATTTGATTTAATTTGATTTCTTTTTTTCAGACTTCTAGTTTAATTTTGAATGAAATAAGACATGAAAAACAGAGCTCATTTACAGAAGAAGAAGATCCAGCTTTGAATGTAAAACCAATGGAACCGTTACTGAGAGGATATAAAAGATCAATTATTGTACCCCAACACCGTACTATACCCTCAGATTTAGGTATTGTAATTGATATTAATTGTATATTTCATAGTATTAATAAAAACAGACGGCTCATAAATGTATAATATCAATTTATAGTGAAATATATTATTTTAAAGACTATATGTTAAAATTTAGCATGAAAATAAAACATATTGCGACAACAAAGGTCCACATAATTTATTTTATGACTTATAAATATAAAATATAATTACATTTATAAATTTTTTATTAAGAAATAATGATTTATTAGTATTATTAAAATATAAACAAATTAGTATATACTGTGTATTGTTATAATAAAGCCAAAGCCATTATTGTGGTATCGTATTAATTAAATAATTAACTTTTCTGTATTATTAGACTTTAATACTATTGAATTAAAAAATAATAATAATTCAATTCAATCTTTTAACAAAAAGTTTCTGAATAAGATTATTTAAATGTTATTAAACTTATCACTTTATATCAAATTATAATAAAAAAAAAAAAATTAATGTATACATTTTATGTTATTTATTGAATAATAATTTTGATGTTTTTTTTTTTTAGGAGCCTCTCAAAATAACTGTATAAATGGTAATTTTCAAGAAAAACGTATTTCTGCTGATTCAGACTATGGGCAACAATCATCTGGTAAATTCACAATTGATTTTATTGACAGCTACTATTATTGTGTTATTGTAAAGAAAAAATGAACAATTCACATTAACTGTCTTCCTTGTAGGTTATGTATCTGATGGTGATGTTCTTCAATATGACATTCAGTCAAGACAAATTCTAGCTACAGATCCAGGTTACATGTCCGAAGGTCCAGTTTACAATGATTCAAAGTATGTATAAAATATTCAAAGAGTATACGTTAGTATATACTTTATACGTATATATACTTTATACGTTATTATACGTAAGTAGTATAAGTTTAAATTTGTACGTATTTGTACATATATTGTATATACATAGAAACAGTTTATTATGTTACTATTATATATTTAGTTACAGTTCAGTTAACCTTTTCTAATCCTTAGAAATTAATTGTTTAAATTATAATTTATGGAATTTTATAAGTATTACTAGTAAAATTATATACTAAATGAATATTTTATTTAAAAATGTAGCGAATTTGGAAGGTATTAACAAAGGAATGATGAAATGTATTAACAACTTGTATTACTTTAATACTTACTAAAATTGTATTATAATAAGTGCATTTTAGTGTACTATTAAGCTCTAGAACAAATATTTCATATTAACTAGGTTTTTTATTCCTAATAAATTTATTTGAATTTTTTATTTATAATTCATTTTATATTATTATAAATAATGTATAAATAATAGTATTAAAAACTACCAGTTACTTAATAAACTGAATTCTTCTACAGGCAATTCCAGGAATGTAACCAGGAATTTTTTATGGGGGAGAGTCCAAAATTTAAATTTTATTTGTTCTCTAATTATAACTATAGTTTAACTCAATACCAAAAAATTACTGTTAATATACTATAGTATGGTTTATACATTATATATATATTATATAATCTATAAACTTTGTACATTGAATATAATGGGAAATTAAAATATACTATTTACTATTAAACCGTTGAGTATGTAGAAATTCCAATGGGAGGGGTCCAGACCCGAAACTCCTCCCTTGGGTGATTCTCTGTTATATAAAAGCCCACTATTTAGTACTTTGTATATATATTTGTTTCTGATACTCGGAAGTCGAGTAAACTATGTTATATATATATATATATTTAATGCTTTTTAAACACTTTCATTAATATATCTACTAAATTATTATATGAAACTATGAAACATTCTTAAAAAAATTATCTCTAAATTTGATCATAATAATTTTCATAAAATGAATTAGTTAAATTATTATAGATAAATTGTTAATATTTCTATAATGATAATCATTAACATTAAAATAGAGAAATAGCAAACTGTAAAATATTAATATTAATATAATATAGTATAATACCCATAGTCAAAAACAGGAAACTAGATTATTCTTATAACTATTATTACAAAAATACACTAATTTTAAATACTACTATTAGATATTAAATATTAACTTATATTTGCCAATATTTTTGAATAATTTATTTCAGAGTATAGATTATAAGAAAATCAAATAAGCAAATAGTGTATTTAATGTAACATATAAAAAAAAAATTCCTAATACAATTTAAAATTATGTTTCAAATCACAAAAATTAGATTTTTGGTATAGTTGGCATTTTCAAAATATGGCAAATTATATTATATATTATTCCTTAAAAAGATTATACAAATGTCCTTTTAAGGTGCTTTATAATATCATAACTTCCAAAACAAAATATAGTATACATTATATGTATTGAAAACATTTCATATTTATTATTATAATATCATAATATTAAGAAGTAAAGCTTATAATTTATGTTTTTAAAATAATTTAATTTAATTTTGAGATTAAAGTTGTACTACTATTTTTAATTTAAAATAACTAAAATTGCTTTCTGTATTGATATTAAGTTGTCTATTACATTAAATAATTCACTTAATTTATCAAAAAATATCTAAAAATATAAAACTCATCCATAAATCAAGATATATCTTACTTATTTAGTTTTATATTCTATTTTAAAACCATTTTTTAGATAGGAAAATGGTGTCTAAGATATTCAGACGTTAAAAAAAAATGTAACACTTATAGTTTATAACTTACAATTTTTGTATTATAATTTATATAATGATAATTTATGTTGTCTGTAATAGTTAATCTAATTTATTTTAATTTGATACAAAGTTATTACATTTATATTAATCACATAATTGCAATTACTTGATTAATGTAATATACAGAACAATCATATGGAATTAAATACATTTCAATTTTATATTTTCTGGATATCATAAGTATAAAATCATTAAATATTGATTTGGGCCTCTAAATAACTAAACAGAGCCATTTAAAAAAAATTCAGGTGCCTAAATTTTGTGTCAGTCCATCACTGTTGACCACTATGGGTTTGTAAAAACTCTTTGAGAGTTGTTATCAATGCTGCAACTAGGTTTTGTGGGGCTCTAATGCAAACAATAATTTAGGAGCTCTTTACAATTTTTTCATCATAATTTAATATAGAAAGCATAATTATTTAAATGAGACAATATAAACTTTTTAATATTTAATAAAACTAGAGTTTACTTAAAAATATTTTAACAGTTTTAAAATAATATTTACCTATACAGTACTAAAAATTATCAAAGTACAAAAACATTTATCAATAAAATAAAAATTATAAAGTTGGTAAAAACATATTTAGGTATTATAAGATTAATTAATTGTTATGTATTGATTATTGTTTAGATTAGATAATAACATTAATGGTTTGATTACAACTTAAATACTAAATTAATTATTATTATTTAAAAAAAAAACATTCTGGCTTTTTCATTGACAAAATCGTCAATCACTTTATTTATATTCAAATCTTGAGTTCTGTTGAATATTTAGAATACTTATATTTGTAAGTCTTTCATTTCCAATGAAGGTTCTTAAATAATTTTTTATAATTTTGAGTTTGGAAAAAGAACGCTCCGTTGACGTAACTAAGATGGATAATAATTACACTAGCAGTTAAGACATCGTTATACGGAAATCCCATATCATTAACAACAGTTTCTGAAATATTAAGAAAAGATTATTTGTTTCTGGGATCTTGTTTAAGCATAAATGAGTCTCAATTGGGTTCAATATGCACCTTCAGTCCACCCGCTATTTGCGGCACTAGTTTATATATTCTATTAAAGTCTGTACACTCTATGAATGTATTTTTGACTTGGTACATTACGTTTTCTAAAATTGTAAAGAAGAATAATGTGATCATTATAATTTATGATGTTCTTATTTTGGATACTTACAACAAATTATTATTACCATATAATATTGAACATAATCGAGAAAAATTAAAAGCAAACAAATCATATGAAATAACCAAAAAAAAACAAAAAAGAAAGACATCTATACTAATCAATTTCATGTAAATCTCAATAAATGTACATAATAAACCGGTCTTGTCCGGAAAGTGCTTTAATGTTTTAGATGAGAGCAATTACTATTTCAATGTAAAAAAATCTTGTTTAAAAAAGAACGCACAATCATCATTTACTGATATAATTATATTTATTTTAATTTTATTAATTTACACACATCTCAATCGTTAATTATTAAATAAAACATTTTATAGGTGAAATTTAAAAATGTATGCATCCAGTACAGAGTTCAAAACTTTGGTAAAATGTAGGTATATGAGATAAATAAAAATTTTCAGAAAATAACACACAAAAAAAAAAAAAATTAAGATGTCTACGATCGACATGAAAATATCGTGTATTCGGTTGTATAATATTGATGAAAACAAACGACTGATTTTTGTTAATCATATTTTGATCGGAACAAAATTAGAACCAGACCGATCGAAACCGATCAGGTTTTTTTTATTTTGTCGTATGTTGATGTTGACCGATAAGTGTATGTGCGTCAATTACCTTGCATGTGTTGTAATTGCTTCCAAACTGATCCAAGTAGCTCAAAACACTTGCTCATTCAGTGTGTACACGGTCTTTAGGCCGATTTACACGCAACTACTTATTGTGCATTTTACTGAACATGTAAAACGGACAATAAAACGTTAATTTTATAGTGTCTACACCAGTGATCACATATTAATATTTTTGAAGGGCCACATTAGTAATCTGAAAATTTTTCGCGGACAATTAAAATTCTAAGTACATATTTTCAACATATAATAGGCAATAGGTATTATTTTAAAATTAGATGCAATGAGAACATTATTTATTTTATTTATTATTTGCTATTGTTTCTAAACATTAAGAACATAATTAATATTACAAATATTATAAACATAGAATGTTGTCGTAATATGTGTTTTTATTTTTTGTCTGCTGGCCGGATAAAATTTGTTCGCGGGCCGCCATTTTGTGATCCATGGTCTATATGTTTCAACTTTTACTCAGTTGTCCATACCAGTTTCAACTGTATTTCTCTTCATTCTTCAATAGTATTCAGTTATTTTAGTGATTTTTGACGATATGGAAGAAGCACTATTGTGGTTTACCATAATATCCCTAGTACGTGTGTAACAGAATTTCCGTAGATCAGACATGTTCACAAGAAAACAAGAAAATACCACGCGAATCAAATTTTATATTATTTATATGTATTATAATAATTAAAAAAAAAAAAAAAATGAAGTGATATTTGAATTATACGAGTATGTATATATATACATACTCGTATACTTCAAATATATATAAACGTGACACTTTTTAATTATTATTGTTGTCGTTATTGATGCTGTTATCGTTGTTGCAGTTAGTGTAATGATCATAATCATGCACATGATTGCACATTCATTAGACTATTTTTTATTTTATTTTATAAACTACCAACATAAAAATTAATTAAACTCAACAATTATAAGTATATATTAACATTAAGCTATTCTGAATCTAAATGTTTTTCTTGGCATAGTTTTATAGTTTATTATAATAAAGAATCACTTTTTTAGTATTCAACAAGAAATATTCAACAGTTAAAGGTCAAACGGTGTTATTTAGTAGGTCACTTAGATTCACTGGATTTTAATTAATTTGTGTATAACGTTAAAAATACATTTTATTATCGACGTAGCAATTTATATTCTGGCTAATCATCCATTTGCACATACTTCGTCATAATATTAGATTGGTCTGCCTATTTTGAATTATCTTATTAACATTTTGTACTTGAGAGTTATAGCATTTGAAAAACAAAACATAAAAAAATAATAATAAACTATACCCAGTCACTTAGGTAGGTATTAGAAAAAACAATTGTTTTCGCGTCTTTTTAACTTACGTCGTATTAATTTTTGAATGTTTACTTCGTTATAATACAGACCAAAATATTAAATAGAATACCATCTATAGAATAAATAATAGTATGAAAATAGAATTAGATCAATAGCCTTATATAAGTTAACTACGATTGAACCATTGTTTTCCTTGTATGTTTTTGTGTATATCTAATTTTCTTTTCATTTGAACAGAAACAGTAACTTGCAGATATAGTTGATTTAAGTTTATACTATCGATGACTGATTCATAATATTTCACATGATCGTACAATTTGTTAAATATTATGTTTAGATTTCAGAAAAAAGGTTTATTGTAACTGGTTAAATTCAATTTTTTGCTGTCTCGATAAAAAAAAAATTTAATGTTTTTTTTTTCATACGAACGAGATGTGTGATTGAAAGGGTGTAATTGAGCTCCCTCTTTTTTGAATGAGTCATCTTTCATAAACAGGCCATGCGTAACATAATTATATGTATATGTAACCGCAGTAACTTATTGTATACAATAAATTAATTTATGTATATATTTTCATTTATAATGCTATTTTGCGTGCACCAATGTATTGACCATATTGTTTTACGGCTGTTGTTTTTAAAAACTTTTTTTTTAATAGAACTGATTGTATAAAATATTCATCTCGTTTTTCATAGACCACGCACGTTTTGTGATTGAATAACGTACATAAAATGCATTACACGTTCAATGTTATTCAAAATATGGCATGTCCACATAATGGACTTAATTCCAACGATTTGGCTTGTTTTAAATATAAATTGTACACTTTTCCTTTGGGCTAAATAATTCTGTACAATATTTAGAGGCTCTGCGTGCAAGTTAATAAGAATTTTACTTATGTACTAATCTAAAAACAATTAAAAATAATCTATCATAGTGTTGTAACTTTAATCTCGTTTAATTGAAATAATTTAACGTCCGGAATTAAAACAAATACTTCTACATCTGTCGGTAATGACGATCGAATTAAATATTATTGTTTAGTAGAAACCATCGTGTGTATTATGGTTATTTACGAACAAAATGAAAACACGATAAGCTCTGAGAGGTCTTGATCCATATAAAGTCGAATATCGTATTAAAAAAAAAATTATTTTTATCATTTCTGGTTCGGAACTGGGGTACAACGTAGTATATATATATATATGTGTGTGTATATAAATCAAATCAAGAGCAATTTGTCAACTGTTTTCGTTTAATATTCATTATATCATTTGTATTACGATCACGCGGGTGGTGGGATGAATGCCCCTCAAGGCTTCATCGATTATATTTTTCTACCCTTCACCAGACCTTGAACGGTCCCCAACCCTTCCTAGCGTCTGTGTACACTCTACCAGCACTTTCGACTAATGCAGTGTTGAACGCAGCACCACTAAATATTAATTTACCTATGATATTACATGACGTATTATGATGTAGTCTGGTCTGATCAAAAAACGATACTAATATCATTAACGGCAAGTACAACGGTGATCCCAAGTATAGGAACATTTTGTTCGTGTTCAAAGTTGTCCCGTAGAAACGACAAGGAGAAAAAACCGTCTCCTCTGTTGTTATAGTGTTCGGTCCAACTCGGTAGATAGCGCACGACTGCGGCGGCGCATTGCGGTACGGTATAGTGTGTACCGTCTGTGCGAGGGTGTCGATATCCAAGAACAGGATCTAACAACACCACCCTTGTGTACGGCAGTAGTCCTGTAACGTTTTCGATTAGTGGTTGTCGTATGTAGTGTAGTAAAGCTACTCCGTTGAACTCATCCTCAATTTGAAGTCACATCACAGTGTAGTTATTATACCTATAGGTACGTGTTTACTTCGATGTTCTTTCTCGTCAATTACATTTTTCAGTACACGATATAGGGGTACCATACGATTCCAACGAACACGTAGTCTACCCTATGCTAGCACTAAATTTATATATTTATAAAAGTGACTTGGGGAATATAATTCAACGTCTAATCGTGTAATATGTTATAGATCTGTCAGGCATCAAAATTCAATTATTAACAAACAGAATGCTCCGGTAAACAATCAGATTCATTTAAAACACAGGTAAGAAATTGCGTACATTATATAACGACATCATTCTATTTTACTATGTACGATTTATTACGTAATTCAGAATTTTAATTATATTACACATTAATTTCAAAATGTAATTCGATTTATATCGTATTTTAATATAGTACAATAAATTGGTCGTTGAAACTAATTAATCATAACCTTATCTTATTTTTAATTTAGTTGAATTTGAAAACAAAATTATGCATTACTTTCTTTTCATCAATGAATTAGATATTTATTTAAATTCAACTCAACTAGTGTATATAAATTTAATTTTTTATTTAAATAAATATAAATTTCAGAGTTATCTCGATTGACAGACTAGATTCAAAAATAAATGATTCAAATCTATTACAATCTGGAAATAAATCACAAGTCAAGGTACTTATTTTATTTGACTATGTTTGAAAAATACTTATATATAAATAAGTGTCTAAGTAAAAACTATAATAATTTTATTAAATTCTTTTTAGCTGAATCGATTCAATGTGGGCCCAGACGGGGGCTCATCAAGTCTTGGCCCTGATGTTAGTCCTCCAACCAGCCCTCCAGAGCCCACACCTGTGGCACCTGTCTATAAGGTGGTTACCCGTAACCATGTCAAGAAGTCAGATAGCGGACAGCAAACCGAATTGAATAATTCAAGCTTAAGGTATTTAATAATAATTTTTTAACAGCACTTAATACAATTTTCAATGATTTTATTATTTTTGAATGTTAGACAATCTTCGCAATGGAAAAAATACATAGAAGCTGGCAAAAATGCTGAACAAATTAGAGTGAATGACTTTGAAAGGGTGCGAGATAAACCAAGTCCAAGACGAACAGATAAAAAACGATCAACTGGTAATAATATATGAAATTAAAAACAATTTCAATCAACAATAATTAAAATATTTAAAACTTGTTGTTGTAGATGGATCTCGTGAAGATTTGCATAATTTGGATTACATGGAAAGAAAATCACGAAGTGACAGGAGTGAGAAAACTAAGAGTCGAGGTGGTGTACCTCAAAGTTTTGGTTATGTAAAACGATCTACATCCAGCTCAAATGGTAAAGGTGATCCAAGAACTGCTCAAGTTTCAGCTGTTCCTAGAACAAAAGTAATTTTAGATTATAATAATGAATAATAATGTGTTATATTAAATATATTATATTTATATTATAAAATCAAACTATAATTTGAAAGGTAAAAGTTTCTGGAGGCACTCAAACTGATATGAAGACTTATTCAGTTAGTGGCCCAAGTGCTACTCAACTGTCACAAAGTGTAAGGGAACGACTTATGGCCAATCAGTCGGAACAAGAAGTCAAAATTGGCAGCCCTTATGGAACATGGACGAGACACAGTCCCGTTCCACCACACTATACTGCTTCTCTGCCTTCTAGGACTGGTGCTATAGGTACTTACTAAACTACAGTGTTTTTGGTATGTTTAATAAGTATAAATAATAACATTATTTGATTCATTCAGGAGGTATGATTGAAGCAGATAGTATTGAATCGCTCCCTGCACAACTTCATCATAGAGCGAGTTTAACACACTCTAGATTAATGTCTTCTGCGTCTCCAAATACTAGTCCATCACCAAGTCAATCAAATAGAATATCAAGGAGTAATAGCATCAGGTTCGTGGCATATTTTTTTTATGATAAAATTTAAATCTGAAAATTTCTGTCTTATATCAAAAACATTTTAATGGATTTCGGCTATTTGAATTATTTTGGGGAAATTTAATGCTGTAAATTTATTTGCAGCTATCTAAAAGATCGGACGTTTCCAAGGTAGGCAATTTGCCAAAAAAAAAAAAAGTGCACTTATAATATCATACATTTTAACCGAGTTGTTGCTTTTCATTGTTGAGGATTATTATTTTAGCTTTCAAAAACACCAACTAATTTTATTTTATGTATTAATTCTTAATTGATTAATTATTATTCTTTTAGATCAACAAAATCAGAAAAACTATACCCATCAATGTTACAACGTTCAGATGAACCAGATTCATACTACAGCATACCATATGCGCCTTCTAACCGTTCTGATCATCGCACTTACCCTCATGCCTCACAACCAACTAGCCCAACACCAGCTAATCGTTATAATTTTCAGTCTCCTCAGCCAAACCACCGATCAGTTCTTTCATCCCCTTATGCTGCTTCTATAATGAGTAAAATCAATTCCAAAGATGATGATGGTGTGTATATATGAATAATTTTTACAAATTGCATAGAAATTAATTTTATATAATTATATATTAGCTCATGGATCTGCATTAAGTTTAATATCAACTGGATCCTCATCATTGTATAGTGGAATGGGAGCTGATGAAAAACAGGCACAAGAAGTTAGACGTCTTAGAAGAGATTTGAGTGATGCACAAGACAAGGTCCATACATTAACAAGTCAACTATCAACAAACGTAAGTTGCATAAAATAATTTATTTAAAAAAATGTCTTATTTTTGGATCTATCTAAGTTCTTTAAGCATCGTTTTATTAATTTAATATACAAATAAATAATAATAGAAAAAATATGATGCTTGTTTAATACACTATTATCATAAACTATGTTTTCAATTAATATGTCTTTACATTATTAGAAGTTCCAATGTCCACATATGTATTTGATGAATACTACTTACTTAAGTAATACTTACTTCAAATGTATTTAATACTTTTGATCAACTAATATTATCTAACAAGTCTATTAAATAATTTTCAAAAATAACTATCAATGAACCTCAGTTAAATACTTTTCTTGAAAGTATGAAATAAAAGTTTAATAAATTATGGCAATGAAGAATATACTTGTTGGCATATTCGTGTAACTCGTAGCTATTACACCTAAAAAAATAATCCATAGGTTATATATAGATAGTATAATGGAAAGTAATCGCTAGTTACTCCCTACATTTAAAAATAATGGTAACTGAGAAAAAGCTTTAGAACCTAATTTAAGTTTTTAGCATATTCACAGAATATTATCAGACTACATCACTACTTAAGCCTTTTATCATATCTAATGACTATACCACTGATTATTATAGAGTGGGTTATTTTTTTTTTTTTTTAATCTTATTATGCTTAATTGTATAGATTGTATATTTCTTGTAAAAATAAAAAAAAAAAAAGGTTATTTTTTAATCAATATAGGCACTGATAATTTTACAGGTAGTATTTTGTTTCAAGTAAATAGTTTTAATACACTTTAGATATTAATATATTAAATATTTTATTTATTAATTTTTACAGTTTTCAACTTAATATTTAAGTATTGAAATATATAGTTAAAAATAATAAGTGTAGTCAAATTCGAAATATGAATAAATAAATATTTATTGGTTAAAGTTACACAAAGACAGGAACACAAAAAAAAAATTGGTTAATAAGGGTTTAAACTACTTTTGAAATCATCTATATTTTCAATATAATTGAAATTTTCATTTTCTTCTAAACACACTTTCTTAATGGGTGGGCTATCTTTTATTATATTTTCTGTATTATGATTACCAATTATTTCAACTCCAAATATTCGGCCATTAAGAAATCCATGTTTTAGATTTTTAACATCCTCAAATTTTAAGATTTTAAGAGCTTCTATTTCTAAATCTAATCTATTGAATTTAAAACGTTCTTCAAGAATTTCATTTCTATTTCTATTAAACTCTTGAACTAAACAATCATCTGGGGATGCTTTTAGTGCAATTAAAGCATCTCTTACTTTATAAACTTCATCAATATCATCGAAGTTTTCCCAAAATTGTTTCAAAAATTCATCCATTCTGTCAAATACATATGATGTTTCAAATTTATCTCTTTGGTGTGCTACTTTAAAATAAAATCCATAATGCTGATACAGAGTTGTTACATTTAATTGAACATCATAACCAAGGCATTGTTTTGTTCGTAGCTCATCAAATGCAGATTCTTCCATCATTGATTGTAGCACATGATACTTGACTGAATCATTTATTTCATTTTTATCAAATTGATAATATTTATAAGCTATAGAATTATTGTCTTTTGGATTATAGTTTGCCATTTTAACTCGGTTGTCTCCTTTATTGAGACGTTTTATCAATATAACTGGAAAACATTCTTTAGCTAGAGGCTTGTAGTTTAAAATAGTTACTACATTTTTACAAATATCCATTGCTTCAATGTTACTTATATTCCCTTGAATTAACGCTCGGCAGTATAAATTGTTTAGTTGTTTATAGAATGTTAAAAGTTGTTTATAATCTAATTTTTCTAGACATTTTAATCTTTCGTCTAAATTCCAGTCCGGATCTTGAATTACACTATTTTTTAAATCAGATGGAACGAAATCCAAATCATACTGATTATTTCTAAATCTATTTATAGCCTTAGCTTTAACCATAATAAATATTTCCTCAGTCATCAAACTCTCATAATTTTTTATACATTTAAGTACAATATCTATGAGCAAAGGTAACTTTTCATTGAAACCATTAAATGTCAATTCAAATCCACTTATAAATACTCTAATACCATAACTAAGTTGAGCCATTACTGCTGGATATGTATCTTCACTTAGTAAAAATACAACAGAATCTAAAAATAAATCCAAACTTATATAGTTACTCAATGACTTTGATGGTAGCGGAGTAATAACATTTAACATAACATAGCTTTTGGGTAGTTTGAAATAATTATCTTGTTTGTACCACAATTCAAAGTATTTATTCTCAGTAATTTTTTTTGGATATTTAGAGTGTACAGTTTGAGGTAAAATTGTAAAATTTGTCGTTAAATATTGATTTTCGCTTGGAATTTTAAAAAATGTATGAGGTTTAATTGTTGACCATTTACTTTCTAGTTCTTCAGTTAAACTTTCAGCTAAATATTTGGTTCCAAAAGTTGGATCTTTTATAAATTCATCAGAATTATCAAACTCCTTTGCTAATATGAACATAGCTACACGTTTAACTGTTAATAAGTTTAAAAATTGTGAAATTATTTCTGGTGAATATTCATGAAATAATGAAGGGCCACATAAATAATCTTCTTCTTCGTATATCAACATGTTTTCAGCAAGTTCAATTACATGATCAATAGCAGATTTATTTTCAGAAAAATTGAAGTCATTTTCAGCTAAAATTTTAATTTCTTTGAAAATAGATTCAGATATTCCTTTTTCTCTAACCAAATTTAAATAACCAAATGTTAGCTCAATTATTTCATGTATATTTTTTAAACCTAAATCAGTAATTTCAATAGTCATAGTAAATAAACTGTAAATACTATTGCTATAAAAATCATCTTCTACTCCAGCTTCTAATTCCATTGCATAGTTTAACTTCCTCAAATAGTTAATCAATGTTCCTTTACCTTCATGACCTACTATCCATGCAATGTACTCCAATGGTTTAATTTTATAGAGGTTATTAACTGGAGGTAAATACCAAGAAAATATAATTTTTTTTGTAGAACTCACTGATATTATTTTAAATATTTTGTGAAAATTATCTGGGTGGAATGGTTCTCGGCTGATTTTAAATTCTGGTGGTGGCAGATTGTCTGTTGGTACTTCACTAAATAAATTATCAATCCATTCTACCATTTCATGTGCTGGTTGTTTACTTTGAACTGCTAAAGTCATACGGCTGGCTGAATAATGATTTTTCCAAAAGTCTATAACCATTTCATCTAAGTTTTTATGATTCAGACTCTCCAAATTACCCCAAAAAAATTTTCCAGCAGGGTTTTCTTTATCAGCACATATTGATAGTAATCTAATTCAAAATTATTAAAATTATAAACTGTTTATTATTAAATCATGTATTATTATTTTACTAACCTCTGTATACGACTATCATCATCAGAAATAGCCATTAGAAATTCAGAATCTACAACTTGTTTTTCCTTGTCTATAGATTCTTTTGCTAATTTAGGTGCTTGAAACATACTTGCAAATATGTCAGATGCTTCTCGAGAATATTCCATTGGGACTTCAAAATGAAAATTTGTGTACTCACAACCTGTTTCAGCATTTGAATAGCCTGCTTTTCTGTACAAAAATCGATCAAAATGATTTTCTGCTGGGTATCGTTTACTGCCCATTGATATCATGTGTTCCAATAAATGTGCTAATCCTTGAGCTTCAACAGGATCACTAAAACTACCAATATTTACACATAATGACATCGCAAACGAATCACTATTTTTTTGAGGTTCTGTTTCATCACTTGAGCAGGAATCACTGGATTCTTCTGAATCATCATTTGATGAATTGTAGTTTCCACTTGTTTTTGTAAATTTATAGTTTTCATTTTTACTAGGTTCATATTCTTCGTCAGGTTGACCAATTAATAAACATCTCATACCGTTTTTTAACTTATGTAATAAATATTCTTTCTTATTACTCAAACCTTTACGAATTACCTTCTCTGCAATAGCCATGGCACGATTGCTAAGTAAAATACTTATTTAATTAGTAAATACAAACTATTTCACTTTATTATAACAACATATAATTTTTTTTTTTTTTATAAAAATATAAAATTATATAACAACTTTATCAAATATATCAATAGATTCATTATTAAAACATTTTAAATTACTAAAAAAAATTCTAAGTATACTTGCATAGATACTATTTGATAAGAATTATGGTAATCAATATTACGTAGCGGCACCACGCCGTAATCAATAATTATGGTAGAGTTGACTTTGCAGTGGGACCAACATAGAATAGTAAATTTAAGACGTCTTTGAACTATAGGAACCAAAATACAGATAGTCTTCGTTAAAGTAATTTATCGTATATTCATAGTATTAAAAACCGGAAAGTACTTAATAGATGTTCATGTAGATACTGCATTTCATTGTGAAATACAGTATAAATAATTTAAAGTTTTTTATAAATTGTATAATAATATTCATAGGAAATAATTGGCTGAAATCTTTCATCTTGAAATGAATGTATTATTTACGCATAAACTATGAAAATTTCTATACTTTACATAAAGTAGTCATTATTTTAGAGCATTCTCTACAGTCTGCTTATTTATACTTTATGTTCAGTGATGGCGTGACGAAAGACCTGAATTGAGACATGTACTTAATTACTGGTGGTTCTCCTCGACCTCGACCCCTCTATAATAGCATTATTAGTTTATAAATTATGACTTTAAAAGTTATGTTTCGTAGCTGATATATCATGTATAATAAAATCTGTTAATTGTATGTGATATTGTATCACATATATGTTGTATTTTCATTTTGTGATCATCTCTTTTTTTTTTAAATTTTTTTTAAATTTATATTTAAAATATACATTTTACAAATTATAATTTATAATTAATATAATGGACAAAAATAAAATATAATAGACCATAAACTAATTGCAAAACCAAAATTTACCTGTCATTTTTATATTCATTATTTAAATGGAGGGTGATGCTGATAATACTGATATGTTACTTGCTTTTCTAATGTTTTATATTAATTTAAAATATGTTATACTTAAAAAATAATTAGGTACGCTATTATTATTAAATAATATTATAAACATTTTTGCAAACACATAGTATGATTATACATAATATGTAACCAATATATTATATTATTATATTCAGTGCTTGAATTGTTAAAATTAAAGAAGAGGAAATCTGTTTGCTTAAAAGAAAATTGCATCCCCAAAACTTGTTAAGCATTATAATTATAACGTAATAATAGTAGAGGGACGCTGAAATTTCTAAAAATTAGAAGGTGTACTCCGTCCCCCCTCAAGTCGAGCACTGATTATGTTATTTGTTATTATATTATAACCAAGTTGTATAAAATGTATGTAGTTACCAAATATAGTGGTACATAATATATATATTATATACGTAGGTGTTTTGCATAATATGCTTTAAAAGGCTAAAATAATTAATTGTATTAGTTAGTAAATGATTTTAAAACACAAATAAATAAATGAGGAAATAATTTAATTTCCTCGATCAAACTTATCAATATTATCAGTTGAAACTTTGACCAGTGTATGTAATATTATTTGTTTACTATTTAAAAAGTACCTCCTAGAGTAGCTTGAATTTACATTTTACTAGGATTATATTTTTATATTCTTTAAATTATATTTAACAATCATAATGTTAGGCATATGCTCGTTATTTGATAATTGAAATACCACAATTTATCAAAACTCTTTTCATACTCAATATTTTTTTTTTTTTGATACTTTTGATAGGACCGTCGATTCAAAAGTAGTAACCGCTTCCGCATGACCGTTAACTTGAGTTACGTATGATGACCTATTTAAGAATGATATTACATTCATTACCAGTAGAATATTCTGTCGTGTTAATAATAATATATCAAATTAAAGCTATTTTTAAAGAGAAATCGCCGCAAAAAAAAAAAATAAACCATATTTAAATATTATAAACCTATTGAAATACTAAATATCTATAATTCGGCTTTAATCATTCCTAGAAAGTATATAATTCTGGTTTTGGTGGTTTTACATTAATGTGTGAATATTTTTTAGTTTTTATTTATTTTATTTTTCTCATTTTCTTTAAAAACATCCACTCTTATAAAGAATACTTTAATTTGATGCATTTTTGGACATTCGATACGTCATGACTATTACATTACACTATACATTATAATGTAATGTGTTCTTAAAAACTCTACACTTGTGGGTATGTATATATTTATATTAGTTTTATAATTTGACATCCTCAAGGGCAAAAGTATAGGATATTATACTTTCGAAGATCCTTCTTTTTTTTTTTTTTTTTTAGAAATAATCTTATTTAAAACGAGATTTTAATTTCACAGTGGCATCTTAAATGAAATCAAAATTAGGATATTAATTACACAGCCCAGTCTACCGGTACATGTATATATATTTATATATACTGTTGGGTGTTCCGTGTTCATATAAAATTACTGGCTATAATCGGTTAGGTTAGGTATGCCACAATAGTAACACGGACAATGTTATAATCCACCCTATCCTCAAAATGGTCTCTAAACATAAATTATAATATCCTTAGAATAATTGGTGTACGTTGACTATGTCATTTTAATTAAATAATATACTAACATTATTTGTTTTCAACTTGTAATTTAAAATAAATCAAAAATGTTATGTAATTACCAGTTGATGATAAATTTATGTATCGACTTCAGCATCTAAATATGTTTGGGTTATTTAGTATTGTTAATCAGTTTAATATATATATACCTAATATTTATTACATTTTACGTACTTACAGTGCTCGAATTGGGGGGTGCGCAGGGGGAAGAAACTCCTCTACTATTTTTTTTTTTTTTTTGCGTACCCCAACTATATTTTTTCACTGGAACGGGGGGACGTCACGTTCATCCTAATTGATGACCAAAATAATTTTTATATGAATTTCAATTTACGTCAATTTGAAAACGAATTTTACGATTTATTATATCAAAACTATTTTCATAATTAAAGATTATATATTATATGGTGGTTATGATATGAACAACGTCATCATTTCTGAAGAAATATAAATAGCAATGTCTGTGAATTTGATATATTATACTTTATACATTGTACTATTTGTTATTAATATTGACGATCGACGATATCGTCATTTTGGAAAAAAATAAATGCTCGCACCACAACCAATCTTCTAAGGCCGTGGCCCGCACTAAAGAGTAAAAATAAATAAAAACAAAAACCAAATATATGATTATATCATTCGATTCATGAGACTGCCTGATCGCCTACAATTATGTTAATTATTATTTTATTTTTATTTTCTATTGTAACATATAGGATGTTGATATTGCTATTAAAATATATTATATTTGGAATTTAAATATTAGTTTAGCTGAAAAGTGGCATTCAAAATATATATAAGGTTGGCGGTGGGGGGCAGGGACAAAATTCCCACGGGTTTGTGTTAAATAATTGCGCATATGGAACGCAGTTTTCAAATCATTGGACTGAGCTCCTCTACTTAATTTTTCCCAATTCGAGCACTGCGTACTCATAGTTTGTAATTAAAATACACTTTTAACAAATTTTCTGTCTATATACAGAACTTCGCCAACGAGAATTATAACAACAATAATTATTAAACTGCAGTAGTAAAGTAGGAACATAGGCAATTTTTCAGATATCAATTCACAATTATTTTTTTGTTTTCATATCGGATTTGTTGAAATTCACTGATTTTTATTTTTTTTAATTTTTAATTTAGTATGCGAAGTCAACACTAGATTTTTAGTAATGAAATGCATGTATAGTGAGATTTTGTGGTTGTTAACGTTATTTAAATCTTTACAGTACTGTATACAAAATGTATAATAGCGGAAGCAAATCCTTAGACCACCTTTTGATCATAACAATCGAACAGCGTCATTGTCTCGTAGTTATGTAATTTTATAATAGTTTTTTTAATTATTATTATTATTATTATTATTATTATTATATTATTATTCAAATTTTATTACTTTTTTTAATTAATTAATTTTTGTTATATTTATTGAATTTCGGACAAACTTATGCATCACAATTTTAATTTCAGTCAGAGGCTTATATTTATAAAGTTACTGAGGGGTAACTTGATAATTAATTTGTAATTGATGGTTACGTATGTATAAACATAAATTATATCGTTTTAGAGGAAAAAAGTTCGCGCCGTTAATGACTATAATTATATGGATTATGTTTAATAAATTATATTAATTATATGAATGTATAACCATAATTTTAATGATATAATATTATAAACTTCTTATTTTGTTTCTCAGCAGATATTTTTTTTGTTAGGGTGTTTTTCGTGCGTTGGGGCGTATATAATGTGCGTCACGGCACACAGGTAACATTATATTCACGGGCGCACGCCATTTCAGAAGGGGAATAATTTTATTGGGGTATCTTCTTGGTTGCCGGGTGTGGTTTCCGTTTTCATGTTAATCATTTAAAAAATAATAATGTATCCTTAGAGTTAAAAAAAACCTGAATATGCGCCTATTCTTTTACCTTATGTACGATTTGTTTCTAAAATTACTTTTCGCTAAGATCTCGAAGTTTTTTCCTTTATATTTTTTCTTATCGACGATTTATTATTTTTTATGTTCTACCGTGTTTAATGACAAAATTCGAATAATATTCTACACTATAGTGATAATCTGTATTAACGGAGTGACGCGAATAAATTTCAATAATTTACAGGAACGATTTAATGTCGAGAGTTTTAACCGGCTGGTAAAATAATATGGTGCGTTCTGCCGTCCTATATAATGCATCTTTATCTTTATCTGCTGGTTCATTATGTAGTGTTGTCTACTCATGTGCTATTAAACTCCAATTAAAATCACACTACGAGAACCGTATAAAAATATTTTACAAAAAGTTACTTTCGTTGTGAACACAGCATATGTCGCAAAACGGGAAGTTTTAATAGAATAAATGTTCGGACACAATTCGCTATAGGAAAAAAGTATAGAACTGTAACTGTAAATAAAAAAAAATTAAAAAAAAAAAAAACCTC